GGTTGTGATTAGGGTTAGGGTTAGGGATGAAAACCTATAGGAGTTCAAGATATTCTTCAATAACTTTTTTTCTGAAGGTCATAGAGACTTGCAAGTTGGTTCCATCTCCACTAATGTGGCTCTGCCCGATCCACTGGGACCATCCCCGAGCTTCTACGACCTTCGGAAATGGTGAAACCACCAAATCCAAAAGAAAAAGTACAAGATATTTTTGAATAACTTTTTTTCTGAAAGTCCTAGAAACTTGTGCATCTCCTGATTAATAAAGGCTAGCCTGCCACGCAACCACACAGAATTTCAGCACGTTTCGAGCAAGCAGTGCAGAGTTATTCACCCTATGGTGAATATAGGTTAGGGTTGCAATTAGGGTTAGGGTTAGGGATGAAAACCCTTATTAATTACAGAATTTAATTTAAGAAAACCAACTCTCTGCCTGGCCACTCTTAGCTGTTAATATGTGTTTACATGTTACCTACTTAACTAACTGGCTCTCATAGCCTCAAGCCAGCTAACATTGCTTGAGCCCTGGACTCTTCAAATAAGTGCTCTTAATGTTGTCAATAACTTTATCTCAACTCATATGTTTCACTGAACCTTTTACCTTCTACTCACCTCACACAGCAGGGTCAATCAGATGCAGAGGGATGGTTCCGCGACTTCCTGTATCCTTGTCAAATTAAAAGCCATTGTTTCAAATTAAAAGCCCTCTAGCGTTTCATACACGGTCCAGCCATACAGGCTTTGACGTCTTGTTTGGTAAATAATTACCGAGGTCCAGACCTCGTAGGCCTCAGCTGGCTACGGCCATGGTCAGACCACACAGTTATTTAAATAAATGTTGCTGAAGCCTAAATGGAACTATTACTTATCTGCAGTTACTGTTTTGCTGCAGTCCTTCCTGTTTAAAACCCAAGTGTTCATGTGTAAACATGAAGCCTTTTGAGTGTGTGCGTTTTTGGACAGTGAGACTGGATGAGATGTGTATCTTCAGCTCCCGCCAGACTATTTTTCTCCTGTCAAACTTCACTGACCCATCCAGCTCACTTTCAACCCAGCACGCAGTGTTTTGAAAACGTGTCAGCTTTGCTTCTAAACTATGCTGATGACATCCGCACTCCACGTGTGTGTGAGTGTGTGCGCGTGTGTGTTTGAAAGGATCTGGACTTATCATTTTTCCTGTTTTACTGAATGAGCTCTGGATTGCTCTGTGTGGGACTGGATCAGTGATCTTTGTTGTTGACATGCAAGCATGAGG